GGCGAGAACCGCGAAGAACAGAATGGCCGAGAACCGCGAAGAACAGAATGGCCGAGAACCGAACAGAAGAAAAAGACAGAATGGCCGAGAACTCCGAGGAACACGCGCACGAAGAACAGAATGGCCGAGAACGAAGGACAGAATGGCCGAGAAGAGACAGAATGGCCGAGAACCGCGAAAGAACAGAATGGCGAGAACGCGAAGAACAGAACGAGAACCCGCGAAGAAAGAATGGCCGAGAACCGGAAGACAGATGGCCGAGACACAGAAAACAGAATGCAGAACCGGGCGAAGAACAGAATGGCGAGAAGCCGAAGAAACAGAAATGCAGAAATAGCACTCCGAGAGACACGCTAACTGGCGGACTTTGAGAAACTCGTTTGGGGATGTTTGAACCCGCGTGGGAGGATGACGAGGGGGCGGGCCGCGAATCCTCTTTTGGTGGCCGAGGGGGCGGGGCATTGGGGCCTGGGGCATTGGGGCGGGTATTGGGCGGGCATTGGGCGGGGCCATTGGGGCGGGGCATTGGAGCGGGGCAATTGGGGGGGGCGGGGCAGGGCGGGGGCGGGGGCATTGGGCGAGGTATAGGGGCGGGGCATTGGGCGGGGCATAGGGCGGGGGCATAGGGGCGGGGCATAAGGGGCGGCGGCGGCATAGGGGCGGGGCATTGGGGCGGGGCATTGGGGCGGGGCATGGCATTGGGCGGGGCAAATCGGGCGGGCGGGGCATTAGGGGCGGGCGGGGGCATTTGGGGCGGGGGCATTAGGCGGGCATAGGGGCGGGGCATTGGGCGGGGGCGGGCATTGGGCGGGGCATAGGGGGCGGGGGCATTGGGGCGGGGCATTGGGCGGAGCATTGGGGCATAGGGGCGGGGGCAATTGGGGCGGGGCATTAGGGCGGGCATAGGGGCGGGGCATTTGGGGCGCCGGGGGCGGGGCATTGGGGCGGGGCATTGGGGCGGGGCATAGGGGCGGGGCATAGGCGGGGCAATAGGGCGGGGCGGGGGGCGGGGGCATTGGGCGGGGCATAGGGCGGAGCATTGGGGGGCATAGGGGCGGGGCATGGGGCGGGGCAATTGGGGCGGGGCATAGGGGCGGGGCATTGGGCGGGGGCATAGGCGGAGCATAGGGGCGGGGCATAGGGGCGGGGCATGGGGCGGGGGCATTGGGGCGGAGCATAGGGGCGGGGCATAGGGGCGGGGCATTGGGGCGGGGGCATTGGGGCGGGGCATTGGGCGGGGCATAGGGGCGGGGCATTGGGGCGGGGCATTGGGGGGCATTGGGGCGGCGGGGCATTGGGGCGGGGCGCGGGGCATAGGGGCGGGGCATTGGGGCGGGGCATAGGGCGGGGCATGGGGCGGGCATAGGGGCGGGGCTTGTGCGCGAGATGGCTTGTTTTTGTTGGGTCTGGAAGGGCCGCGGTTCCCTTCATGAAGTGCTCCGTTTGTCATTCCTTTCTCTGTGTTTTCAAAAAAGATTACGCATCCGATTTTTACACACGTGTATACACAAATGTATGTGCACATGGTGTATCGTTTGGTGTTTTGTTAAGGGCGTTTTGTTGGCTGATTTTGTCTCTTTATTTTCTTCCATTATTTTTCCCTATGATAATTCACTATACTTTTTCATCCTAATGTGTATGTCTTATCACATACTCCTGTGTGTTGGTCTGTTCGTTCATCCAGTTATCTTTTTTTTTGCATCATTTAAGGGAATTTATTTTACTTACACTTACATAGCCAGATGATTGTAGTTGTCTTGGACGAAAGAACATACCTGAAATGAGAGAAAAATATTAGATTATGATATACAGAAACGGTGACATGAAAAGCCTTATACAAAGGAATGCTCATGTAGAATAAACTTTTCAAACGGTAGTCAATGCACATCAATGTATTTAGTGTTTAAAGAAGACGATTTTAAAAAGGCAGTAGTGATGGCCATTAATTTTTCATCGGATTTATTCATATATATGTAAAAAATTTGAAAAGTCATACACGTATTGGGGAGCCAGTGGCAGTTCTTTTTTCAAAGGGGGGGGGGGGGGAATTGGGTAACAGCCACCCCTCTTACGGATGGTCCACCCCACCAGCACGCGAGTCAGCTGACCTGCCGCTTTCCAACCTGTGGCACGAGAGCCCAGGTCAACCCAACCTTCCCTTCTTAGGACCTCGGACTTCCACCCCTCGGGCCTGTCAACGCGAGCGCCCTCCGCCGCCCTCCCGCCATGAGCCCTATCTCCCGCCCTCCGCCATGAGCCTCCCCGTGGCCGCAAATGAGCCCCTCCCGACCCTGTCCGCCGATGAGCCCTTTCCCCACCGCTCCGCCATGAGCCCTGCCCCGCCACTCCGCCATAGAGGCCCACTTTACCCCGTGCCCCACGCCGCCATGATAGCCCTCCCCGCCACACTGTCCGAGCCACTCATGAGTACCCGGATTCCTCCCACCCGTCCGCCGCCAGATGAGCCTCGCCGCGTCGCTACGTCTGGAAAGGCTTGATA